CCAGCCTTTCATTACGCCGCTATAAAAAACTCATGATCCATTAGTTTGAATGGAGAATATCAACTAGATCTTTCCTTTAAGGGTATTCAAACAAATTGGGTCACAGAAGAGCTAGGAAGACAATTATTGTTAAATCTATATAGGGTGAATCCCTTATCATCCTTTTCTTCCTCCCATTTTATCCTGTGTCCTGTTTCCGATACATGTTCGCTTAGCGCTGGTTTTGAGGTCGTAACATCTTTAGTCGAAGATTGCTTCAATCAACCAGTGTATTACGACAACAGTTCTGGGTGGGTTTATCGCGATCTTTTGGAAGGCTTTTGGAGTCTGCGGGACTGTGAACGATGGTAACGTATCTGGAATTAAATAAACGACAAAAAAACTCGGGCTGATCTTATTGTTAATAAATAAAAATTAATTAAGAATAATATTTTAATTAATTCTATACAAAATATTAATCAAATCAGCTTACGAAAAATTCTAGCTTATTCTTCTGTTAACCACATTGCCTGAATACTTGCTAGCATAATCAATTTTAAAATAATTTGGATCTTTTACTTTATTATCTATTTCATTATTGAATCTAATGGCAATTTTTTGGTATTTCGACATTTTTTTTTAATGAAAACCACAGGATAAAAGTTTCAGATGCTACATCAAACAAAAGCTGGTACCACGACCTGACTTGTAAATGTCTATGGTTACTGTGTTAAAAAATAAAAAATGTTATATTTTAGTTTGTGATACAAATTTACATTCATAAATAAAATTTCTCTGATTCGAATTCAAAACGGTTCTCACTTAAAAAATGTCCCTCGTAGAAACCGTTACTTCAATGCCACTTTTTTTTAGGTTAAAACTGTGGCATGCTGGTGGATTATAGATTTTCGATTGTACAAATGAACCCAGAATTGTGGAACGACTTGATTTTCCTTTACCTGTTACAAATAATCTGAGCAGTGACGGTTGAGGTTTTCTAGGGGTTTCCCTCGCCCAAGTGCGAATGCAGTCAGCAAAAAATGATGTTCCCCTAATAAATAGTGGAGAAAATGAAAATTATAGTTCTACTATTAATGATCATGTAATTTTAAATCGCATAGATATTAAATATATTATAGTAAAACTTTGTGTTTTTTTTCCATAACAGAAATAGGCAAAAAATATTTCATCCTATTAAAGCCATGTTCGTACAGGTGTCGTCACCTGTCAGTGACCGACCACCAGCGTTGCCAATGCCAACCCCATCCGAGCTAACTGTATATGGGCTTGAAAAAAACTGTAGAATATTATTTAAAAACTTTAAATATACAGCCTTCCAGTTACAGTATTTTTATTTCTCACGAGTACCTATCGCGGATCAAGGTCAAAAGTGACAGTTTTGCAATGCTTAAGCAAATTCTTTTCTAGTCGGCCTTCAGTGACAATTTCCATTCAAATTTTTACAAATTCACTCAAGGCCAACCAGCTCAAAAAGGTATTAATGTGGTGCTAATGTAAGCACAGAAGTATGATGATATGATACACTCCAACCACTGCATTAAAAACGCTCAAAAAGAGTTTGCTTTTTGCATGCATGATCAGCTGTCCTTTTTTGACATTGTTCCGCGATAAATACTCGTGCAAATCGTATTTTGCTTACGAATAGCACATTTCTGACTTAACTTAAATCAAGTTCTTTTCTCAGCGGTTCTGATTGTCTTTGAGTGACAAAATTTGAATTGAATTCTGAAAATTTTCATCTCACTTTAGATCAACCAGAACCAGAAAAACTGTAGAATTGAAAACATGAAAGATTTTTGAATAACTGTAAATCTACAATTAAAACTGTACGGTTGGCAACCCTGCCAACCACTGTACGAACAAACCGAAAACTGGGAATTTATAAAAGTGTTCAGTCCTAGCGAAAACTTTGCAAAACTATACGTTTTTTGCGACTTTAGGGTGCAAAAAACCATTTTTACAATAAAGTAATTTGGGGGGCGCTGAATATTAGCATCATAGAAAAACAATTCTAAAGCGTCATCGGACTTTTATTTTGAGTGAAATTGGTAAGAAACATTTAACACGGGGCTACCCGCCGCGAATCCTAGCACTAAATTGCCATCAAATTCCGAATCTGCGCACCCAATTTACGTAGATAACGAGCTTCCATGTAGATAATAGACTCGCAACAGTGTTTGGGGATTTTTTATTAGCCGCTTTTTGAGAAAGTGGAATTCCTGCCATCATCTCCAAAAAGGAGGACTTGTCTGGCTGAATTGACCCCGGATTCGGTTTAAGCGACTCGCAAAACGTTTATAAGAAGTAGTAGTGAATCCTAGAGCTGATTTGACATCGAATTCAAAATACAATCACCCGATTCAGATAGAAAACAAGTCGCACACAGCGGATTTTATTTAGTCGTTTTTAGCGACACAAAAAACGTATTGTAAGAATGGCTGAGCTCTCGCCGGAAAGATCCATTTTTTTGCAGTATTTCAGATTGTAACAAAAAGAGGTTGGCGATATTATTAAAGTGCAGTATCTTCAAACCAGTTACGCCACAACGCACATGGTTGCCACATTAATCAAAACTACTAGATCCTAGGACATTTTTTCTGAATGTCACATGATTGCCAGGTTGTCCACAAACGTCGCATGCGACGTTGCCGGCTCTTCGCATAGATCTGAGACTTGTATAATTTTATAGTTTTGCTGTTTTGACAAATAAGTAGTGACTAATTTTGCAGCCGCAAATGTCAGATTGCGATTTTGTAGGACGCCTTTATAGCCTCCTTGATTGTCATAGTATCTTTTCTCCTTCAGAAAGGCTGTGGTATTTCTAGATTTCTACTGTTTCTTCTCCTATTGTGAGGCTATGTTTTTTAATAGGTTCGTACGCATCTGAGGAATGCCCCCAGTCATTCTTTCGGCATTAGACACTCCCCATACTTGGGTACGTTCAACAGCTTAATGAGCAAAGATAAAACCAGCCTTCTATTTTGATGGCCTTTGTCTTGTATTAGCGACGTGTTTTGAAACCAGGTATTTTGATGCTGTAACGTAGACAGACAGCACCAGCAAAGTGCAAGAAACCACTTTAATGATAGTATACCATTGATTAATGTGTTACACCTGAAGATTTCCAACCAAAATAGGATCTGAATTGGGATTCACGACTTGATTTGAAATCGTCAAGCTCAACCAAGTATAACAATCTGATCTAATAAATAAATACATAAATAGCTAAATGGAAGGGTCTTTGGGGAAATCGACAAATTATGCACGTTAGCAATTTGAGGTTAGTCCATGATGTATAGCCATGTTTTTCATTAATTTTCCAAAAATATCCTCATACATCCAGTTTTTGATCGTCCTACTATGTGGTCTCATCCACATTTTACAAACGCACTCCTGATGATGACAGCATAGATTGTCGAAAGCTTGAGTGTAAGTTAAAAGAGTATACTTTGCATAATATGCGATTTTCCCAAAGACGAGTCTTCCACTTAGCTAGTTATTTTTCGACAATAACTATGAATCATATACATAAATATATATATAAATTAATTATAAATACGTAATAATATACTTTATTTGTCACAAGTTTGTTTGATGATAAATAATAGTATAATAGCTTACAGCAGGGTTGCGTTATCAAGTTATCGATTTAAGGTGGTTTCTTCACTTATTAAGGACGGTGTAAATACACTATATGTGCTTGTGGCTTTGTCGAATTTTGACTTAATTCCTTGCACTAGCACTTTGTAGTTGTACCTGTACGTATACACATATATTTTTTAGCGCACGTTTTATTGGCTCTATTTGCATTCATGGTGTTTTAGCAATTATCTTGAACTTCCTGATTTTACTTTTGCATGTAGCACCTGTTGAAACACTGTAGTGATGTCTACAAATAAGCATTTCAATATTGAGAAAAGGATCATTTTTAATTCAAAGTCAGATATCTCCGCGCCAAATGATCGTATCGAGATTTTAAAAACATAATATTGAAGCTGATTAAACGGCAAAACCGATCCATATGACGGCCTAACAGAAAAAATGTGTTTCATGCTCGTGAACTAAAACGAAGCCAAACATTTTGCAAAACACTTTTCTTGCGATATCTGTAAATCGCTCAATTTTTTTTTACTAAAAAACCTGAAAGCTTCAAAATGTTTTTTTAAAAGTCTAGATACGCGACCATTTTTCTCTGAAATACAGCCTCTCAAAAATCACTGAAAAATTTGGACTTTTTCCTGCTCCCTGAATTTGTTTGAGTACTGTTGTTTATATTTTTCCGTATTTTGTAGGTGGTCCTGGACGTCCCACCAGCCCATAGCTTTGGAATAAGACACTCCCCGTTTTCGGCTCACTATTAAGCGGATGAAAAGCAAACGATTTCAAACGAACCGACTGTGTTTCTTGTTTCAACCAATCATCAACTAGGAACGCAAGGATAGCTCTCTATGTTCTATCACTGTGGAAAAACAATTTCTCTTGAGTGAACATACACTATCGGATGCTACGCAAGATGAATCCGTAGCATTTGCGTCACTTTGGAATTGTTGTTCCACATTTACTGTCACACAACATACAATGATGTCTACTAAAACCATTTCACATAGAAAATACTTCGTTACCACATATGTTTACGATCCTCCATATAGGTTGCACGAACTTTGTGACTACTTATTCAAAAACATCATCGTATCTGCCATGAATAGATTTATTCCATTTTTGTGGCATATTGTAAAGCCACCACTTAAGGTCGGTTTCACAATCTCCAGTTATCTCTATTCGACAGTTATGTATATGACGATTCGTACAGTTCATTAGAAATTGTGATCCCACTTAGCAGCGCGTTACTTGAAGTCTTCTCTGTGTGACAAATTGGAAGTGTCCTAAATGTAAAGCTGGTTGTGATACATAAATAATTAAACTAGTGATTTAAAATTGTTTCAATACGTTATTTTGTTTTAAAAACGCTTTGTACTGCCAATCGCCAATAATAAAACTTATTATAGCTTGATATTAATGTTTGGTTCCTTGCAGTTATTCTCTGTTATATACATCTTTATACCATTAACATTTGTGTTGTTTTTATACAATAAATTTTTATATTCAGCTTGTTTTTTACAAACCTGATAAACTAAAAAAAACTAGAAAAGCCAAATATTTGCTTTGAAGTAGATATATTTATTCCAGCTATTTAGAAGCTTTTCTGTAAATCCGTAAATCTACTGACATATTGTAAGGTTGGCATCGTTGTACTAGAATATCAAGAGGAAGGTGAACTAATAATTCGTGCCAGCACTCAGGTCAATCGTGATGCCGCGACACCTTGTGTTAGCGTAAAATAACGTAAATCTGGGGCTTGCTAGCAATACGCAACTAGCGACGACGCCATATATAAACTGTTTACACTCTGAATCCACCCTAGACTCACAGCTGACAGACAGGCTGCGATTCTATGAATCCTAACTTTTTGATAAAATGTGGGACATTTTCATCAGATTAGAACTTACTGCATAAGCAATATGTAGGCCACGTGGTGCGCTCCAGTGTTGCCAGATTCGTCGCAGGGAATTATCGTACAAACACGTCAAAATTATCGTACACTATCCTACATCGTGCCTCAGGTTCTCTCAGGATTCATGATGAAGCAAAGAAGGAAATATTCAGTCTCGGGGGGGCTCTTTTGTTTTCCACTCTTTCCTATAAGCTTGCTGTCTACGTTTGGCTTTCTTCAAAGATTCCGCACCTTTTTTTTTTTGTTTTCTGTATTCGAGAGTATAGCATCTGTTGTTGTGCTTCTCTCTTTCAGAGCAACTTGATTCGGAATCCGACATATTATCGTTATTGAATTCAAACCAGATAAATATCGAAATAACTAAAAACGATCTTTTGATTTTAAGTTTCAAAAGTCATAAAAACGGGAGACGTCGCATTCATTTTATCTAATACACATGGATAAATAAAAATATGCGCGTCATGTCAATACATAGAACGTGAGAACTGATTGACGGCAATTTTCCCCTTGATTGTTTGCCGGGATAGTCCGCGTAATGCTAGGCAACCATTATACAGAGTGGGGGTACCGGCGTTGTCTACCAGCGGCAACACTGACAGCTGCTTGCTGGTGATTGAACGTAGTAGATTGATTCAACATCTCTGAGTAAAAAAGCTCATTCGCAAAATTATCGTACATTCAGCTATTATCCTACACATAGTATCGTACATTACAGTACTTGAAATTATCGTACAGAAACGATAATTATCGCACGTCTGGCAACGCTGGTGCGCTCATAAGCACGTGACCAATAAACATTTCCTGATTAGTCAACCTAATTAAAAATGTCGGAAACTTGCTGGAAATCTGACACTTCAATTATATTCTGGTTCACATTTCTGGTTCACATAGTTCACCATTTTGAGGTTATTGTTTGTTTTGATATATCTGGATTTTTAAAAATCACAAACTATTAATTATTCATTTTGCAAATAATAATCAGGCAATCACATGGAGAAGGACAAGAGCAGGTATGGTAAAAATGATCAGCAACTGAATAGTTATGTTAGAATTCAAACAAAAATTATTTTAGGGGCCGCAAACATATTCAGGATAAGCACAAATACAAAGGGAACACAGTCAAAAACCCAAAACACGTACCGTTACCTACCAAGCCTGTTTTGGAGTCGAATGAGGACAGATACGTAGAGGACAAATCAAACTCGCACAGTTTCCAGCTAAGCAGTAGCACTGACTTTGCAATACTTTCAAAGACACCTATCAGCAGGGGGCATCATTTCAGTTCAAAAGTGATAAACTCCTTGCTGATGAAGCAGAAACAAAGGCTTCCGGTGATTTGTTTTCAATAGATGTTGAAGCAATACATAATAGCATATTGACTGTACCCTTCTATGAAAGAATTCAAATGGATGAAGCTTATTTTTCCGTAAGTACTTCTTTTTGAGTTGTCTGTTCCACTGTCAGTCCAGTAGTACTCAACTTTATTGATTTTCAAAATGTGTGAGCATCAGAGCTATAAATAATATATATATAATGATTGGACCTAAAGTAAAATGGAGAATGTGGTTTTGGCTATCTCCTCCAGCAACTAGCGAATAAGTGAATTTACAGGAATCTGAAAAGAAGTACATGAGAAGTGAAGCTGCTGAACATTTGAGAAGGACCTTAGAAAAGCTAAAAAGGTGTGAAGAGAAAAAACCAAAGCATAAGGAATCCAAAAAGATAGACCATGATGTTTCAGCTATCCAGAAAGACATTGAAAAATGTGTTCTAGATAGCCCGACAAGTTGTACAGAAAAAAGAAAAAGCAGTTCTGATGGAAACAAAAGGACTGTACCTGATAATGATTTAGAGCAGTGGTTGGATGATATACTGGATGATTAAATGAGTTGGTTGTACTGTTTTAAAAAAATAACTGTATTGCATCTAAAAAAGAAATCTTATGATCTGACTCTACTTCAATGATAAACTCATTCTTTTGTGATAACTGCTAAAGGCAAATATATATGTGAAGTATTGATTGTTGTTTCAACAACCCCTGTATCCCATTTTGAACTCTGCCCAGCAATATTACACATCTAAACATGCTGGTTTTGTCTGTCCAACCAGAGACAGCCAACCATGGACAGCTGTTTTGTGGTTTTTGGCAACTCATCAGCATGTTCTAGGCTTGGTCTCTGTGGTAGATTTTGACTTTGCCTTGTCTTATTTCAAAAGATTAACATAATAGGGCGGGAAGCGAATCATTTCAGATACTAAAGTGATCTATCAGGTTCACTGCTTTTCCAAGAATCTGGCGGAGATCTGGTATGATGTGGATATTTGAAAACTGCAAAATAGAACGAATGTTTAATGATATATCAATTATTGGAAGCTATTAATTTTTGTTGTTTTAAAACGACAGTACCTTCATAGTGGAATCCGCCGCTAGATCCCCAAGCAGCGTTGCCAAACCCAACCGAGAGAAAAACTGTATATGAGCCTAAAAAAACTCTAGGTAACTGTAGAATATTATTTAAAAAGCTGTCAATCTACAGCCTTCCATTTACAGTATTTTTCACGAGTATCTATCGCGGACCAAAGTCAAAAGTGACAATTTTGCATTGCTAACGCAAATTGTTTTTGACCGAGTGTGGTTTCGCTTGGCCTTGAGTGATATAAATGTGACAGAATTTCCATTCAAATTTTTCCATATTCACTCAAGGCCAACCAGAACCACAATCGCTCAAAAAAAAGTTTGCTTCTTGCATGCATGATCAGCAATAAGTAGACATTGACGTTGCAAAAAGTTGCCGGTGGTTGAAAATTGAAGAGGGAGGCACCTTGCTTGAGCAGCACTCGGATAAGTAAACAAAACAGATGGCGCGAGCATCTTAAACGAAATACTGCAGATTTGGAGGCTCGAACTGAAAACTTGGAAGATTTTTGAAAAACTAAATCTACAGTTAAAACTGTAGGGTTGGCAACCTTGCCTTCAACAAAGATTGGCAGCTGGAAGGAGGAGTTGCTAAATTCCAACCAATCACGACGCAGCGCAACATAGCCGTACCGACGCCGTACGCTGCGAACTAACGCGCACTTTAGTTATCGGTTGGCGTGGTTGGAGGTTGCTTCGTCGAGACCTCCGTGTTACGCTCGGCTTCTGTTCGACGCGTTCTTAATGTAGTGTCCAGAAAAGCTTTTGTCGGCGATTCCCCGCAGTCTCGTCGTGTCGTGATGGTGATTTGAGTGATTGTGTGTGAAAATGTGTTGTGGTTGTTCATAAAAGGCGAATGGAGTATTTTCACGTTGGATATTCTACCGATCATTCTGAGGAAGTGAATGTCTTTACGGCAAACTAGGCAAGTCATCCATACTCATCTACTTCTGTGTTAGCTTTGAGCTCATAATTCAAATTTGACTTCTTGTGTTGTGGTCAAAAGTCTTAGCATTTTTTCCTAAGTCAAACGTTTTCATGCTAGAAGCGATTAAAGTTCTGAGAAGTCTTAAGAATGTGATCTTAAATGCTTTAAACGCAGTTAAAATTATCATCTTTGAGGTTACCAAGTGTCTAAGTTAAATCGCATCTTACACTACACTACTTAAAGGAGTATTTTTGGATTAGTACATCTTAAAGTGTCCCAATGCCTGTTATTAACAATTAAATAGCAGTGCTTTTAGAGAGAAAAACTTTTTCATTCGCAATGTTCCGAAAAGCCCAAAGTCAAAATGTCCGGGGCAAAAAAACGATTTTTTGTCGTTGTAATTGTTTAAACTTTGCAGCGAGTTACCTCCCGGCACCCTCGTGAGTAAACGTAAATACATAAGTAGCACCACTATCATGTAAAAAATTACAAGACAGCGAGATTCGTGCAGGTAAATACCGATTGTATTTTGTGTTGTGTTTATATCTTATATCGTATAAAAAGTTGTTTACGTTTTTTACTAAGAAATAAATACCCCATACAATCGGTATTTTGAAGATTTACCATTAACTGAACTATAGGTACTCATGTTGTATCTTTATGAGGGCTTGTTTAAAAGTACTGTAAAATTTATTGACAAAAGCCACTTTTTAACACACATTTCAATCAAACACGTACAAGGCAATACAACCCATATATTTTCATAGCTAGCAATAAAAAATGATGCATTAAGCCTGGTCTGCACCATATCTGCCGGCTAGGTCGTTAAGCCCAGTCTACAGTATACAGTAACTAGACAAACGGAGTTCTTTGCCAAAGTCCTGTAGGATGTCTATTCAGAGTGTTCGAAAAATAGACGAAAATATTTTAGAGGGTGATTCTTTGTTAAAAAAAGTTTCTATAAACATGGGTCCGGAAATGCAGAGTTTTCAAGATTCAGGGTGACAAATTTTAAAACATTTTTTTTACTCTTACATATTATATGGAAGAAGCCGTTGGGGAAACTCTTCTGCATAGAACCAAAACCGCAAAACTTGTGCAAGATTTTTCGGTAATTTGTAAACTGTAGCTTTGAAGACCAGAACTGAAACTTGGAAGATTTTTGAAAATCTATTATTAAAACTGTAGGGTTGACAAGCCTGCTAGTAGTTTCGGTCACGATCAATTTCATATAACGGCTGTGACACTAATCTTTTTTTCCCTGCACAGCAAGTTTTCAGTTGGATATAACTACGGAACGTCATTGTTTTTGCGGGTTTCCGATACGTCATGGGATTGTACTGCATTAAGACTACATGTTGCCGGTTCTAACTACGACACATCGAATTTGTGACATTCATCACTTTCAAGTGTACCCTTAAATTGTTCCATCCGCTTTTCCTGTCCAAATCGTGAGAGTGATATCTTTAATAACGCAGTACTTGTATACTCATGCTGTTTCTACTTGTTCCAGGGACTGGAGCAGTTTGCTGAAATGTAAGTGCCTTTAGGGTTTTTCTTATTGGTGTAGGGTTCACAGCTGAACGAGAGCTGCGAGACTTCCAAACCTGCCCTCGCCTCAGACAGGGTGCCCCATTTAGATAGTTAGGGATCACTAGGAAAAAGCGTCCGTTCAGTATAAAGTCAGGAAAAACGTTTGCGTCAGATGAGTGAATAGCGAGTAGCTAGGGAAATGTTAGGGATTTTTTTTGGGCACTCTGCGATGTGGGGCACATCGAGGATACAGACGACTCATCATGCCCTTGCTGCTTAGATTTTGCAGGGGCACATCGAGAGATGCTGACGACACGTCTTGCGCTTGCGCAGAGTATGCGGGTGTAAATCAGGTAAATTTGTTTTTATGAAAAGGACCTCTATGTGATATATTTGATAACTCATCCACATATTTGAGTACCCTTTCAAGTTACTGCCATTGGCTCATCGATGGTGACTACGATCTCCGCGAACTGCGAAAACGTGCAACGGGTATTTTTCATGTGCGTGTGAACCAGTTTTTATAAAGGGTGTTAATATGTTATAGCGAACTATTTTATGTACATTCATTTATTCAACCAGATATCTGAAAACGATACATTGGAAACAAACTACGAAAATAGTACCCGAGTAACTTTTTTTTCTTAGATAAGAGAAAGCTTTTATAGCCTTTCACATGCAGAAATGCTCGATAGAATTTATCATCCGCTTTTCCTGCCCAAAGTGTGAGAATGAGAGATTAATAACGTAGTATTGCTGTTTATACTTTTTGCAGGGACTATGACAGTCTGCTGGAATGTACGTGCATTTATGGTTTTCTTCTTGGTGTTCACAACTGTGATAAATTGCAATGATTGCGTTGTGCAGAGGTCCGTCAACAAGAGGGAAATGTGAAGGAAGGAATTACCCTGGGTCCATAGCCGAGCTGTTAATCAGGAATCCAGAATTAAAAAAAATACCGCTAGGTATTAATATGGTGTTAATGTAAGCACGGAAGTATGATGATATGATGCACTCCAACCGTTGTATTAAAAACGATTATTACTGTTTACAAGCAATTTGTGAAAAAATGTATCGTGGTTACTCATTTTCGGAGAGATTTTTTGCAAAACACGTGGCTGACATAAAATCGTCCAGTGTTTCTTAGATAAGAGAAAGCTCTTATAGCCGTTCACATGCAGAAAACGCTCGATAGAGTTTTCCCATCTGCTTTTCCTGCCCAAAGTGTGAGAATGAAAGTTTTAATAACCTAGTACTGTTGTTTATACTTTTTACAGGGACTATGACAGTTTACTGGAATGTACGTGCATTTATGGTTTTCTTCTTGATGTTCTCAACAGTGATAAATTTCAATGCTTGCATTGTGCAAAGGTCCGTCAACAAGAGGGAAAAGTGAAGGAAGGAATTCCCCTGGGTCCATAGCCGAGCTGTTAATCAGGAGTCCAGAATTCAAAAAAAAAACACCGCTAGGTATTAATATGGTGTTAATGTAAGCACGGAAGTATGATGACATGATGCACTCCAACCGCTGTATTGAAAACAATTATTACTTTTTACAAGCAATGTGTGAAAAAATGTTTCGTGGTTAACCATTTTCGGAGAGATTTCTTGCAAAACACGTGGCTGACATAAAATCGTCCAGTGTTTCTTAGATAAGAGAAAGCTCTTATAGCCGTTCACATGCAGAAACGCTCGATAGAGTTTTCCCATCTGCTTTTCCTGCCCAAAGTGTGAGAATGAAAGTTTTAATAACCTAGTACTGTTGTTTATACTTTTACAGGGACTATGACAGTTTACTGGAATGTACGTGCATTTATGGTTTTCTTCTTGGTGTTCACAACAGTGATAAATTTCAATGCTTGCATTGTGCAAAGGTCCGTCAACAAGAGGGAAAAGTGAAGGAAGGAATTCCCCTGGGTCCATAGCCGAGCTGTTAATCAGGAGTCCAGAATTCAAAAAAAACACCGCTAGGTATTAATATGGTGTTAATGTAAGCACGGAAGTATGATGATATGATGCACTCCAACCATTGTATTAAAACGATTATTACTTTTTACAAGCAATGTGAAAAGTTCAGGCTTCATAAGTGTGTCCATAGATGCCAAGCAACCAGATGAGAAGGTAGTAGTGGAAGTTTTTTTTTTTTTTTATTTTTATAGGACCGTCGCCAGGCCGCAACCTGGAGCGAGTGGGTCTACGAACCGCCTTTGTGCTGGAACCGCCAAGATGGCATAACTTCACGCACGCAGGCTGTCTTGTCTTGTAGTGGAAGTAGTAGTAGTAATAGTAGTAGTGGTAGTGGTAGTTAGTGATAGTAGGGATAGTAGTAGATCGTTAGAGGTATAAGGCAAGGTACCCCAGCATGCAAGGTGGTTTGTAAAACTGTGGTACTCACTCCAGGCTGTGGCCCCGCGATGGTCTCCAAAACTATATTTATTATTATATGATTTTTTTAATTATATTTGGTATTCACTATCTCTAGGTCTGTTGTATAAGATTATTTATCATTTAAAATCGTAGCGCAAGTGTTTTTCTTAGTTTGTTTCAGCTTTTAGGTGAGAATGAAAACATTCCGAATTTCAGGAATGGTGATGAACAATGATAAATTTTGATGATATTCATTATACTTTTAATTTCAGCTTACATTTGGTATTTGCTATTTTATTAGGTACATACCTATTTTTAGCTAAGATGTGATTGCACATTTCTTATTTTTACGTATTTTACAGTACTGCTGTTCAAAAGTTTTCAGGTTTTCTTTCAGAATCATAGCTCAAATATTTTTATCAAGCTTTGAAGGGGGGACACTCCCAATGTCATGTTATAGACACAATAACAAAAGAAGCATACTAAGAATGACTAAAGTCCCGATTTATAGTATGTTGCAATACATGAAAACAGCTATCAAACGAATATCAAAATTATTATAGGGTAAGCATTGGAGAGTATGGCATCAAGAAGGTTGGTTTTGGACTTCACGAATCACTGAAGTATGGATAGAACTGTTAAGGTTCTTGGAAACGTTCCCAAGAGATGAATTTTCTAAACTTACCCTAAGAAGACCAAAAACTTTCCACCCAAACTATACTTAAATAAATAAATACAGTCAACCTACTTGATGTTCAAAATAAGCAGAGGTGTTATTAAAATGGGAATACTTATATCAACTCTCTTTCTAGATAAATCTGTGGATAATAGTAGTATGGTCTACTGTCAAGATATTGATAAAGTTTTACGAAATACAGCCAGGAAGCAAAAGCTTCTAAAAATGTTCACGATTTTCACGCTACTTTTGAAGAAAGTAAGAAGAAATTAAGGGACATATTTGGGAAACTAACACAATGAGGCCAAAAGTTATACGAAGATCAATTGCACTGATAATAGAAATAATGAACAGGTATTTTTTACATAATCTTACTTATTCTTCATGTTTCACTGACGTCTTACCCGATAAGTCAATCTTATCAGGAAATATAACTTCTGAAACCTAGCTTTCGCCAAATTTTATTTTTCAAACAACTTATCAGAAAGATGTCCGTGAACTACGAGGGGCGTTTTTAAAGTAAGAACCAATAGCGCATCGTGTAGCGTGACTGTTCAATCTCGGACACTCTTGGCCAGCCTTTCATTACGCCGCTATAAAAAACTCATGATCCATTAGTTTGAATGGAGAATATCAACTAGATCTTTCCTTTAAGGGTATTCAAACAAATTGGGTCACAGAAGAGCTAGGAAGACAATTATTGTTAAATCTATATAGGGTGAATCCCTTATCATCCTTTTCTTCCTCCCATTTTATCCTGTGTCCTGTTTCCGATACATGTTCGCTTAGCGCTGGTTTTGAGGTCGTAACATCTTTAGTCGAAGATTGCTTCAATCAACCAGTGTATTACGACAACAGTTCTGGGTGGGTTTATCGCGATCTTTTGGAAGGCTTTTGGAGTCTGCGGGACTGTGAACGATGGTAACGTATCTGGAATTAAATAAACGACAAAAAAACTCGGGCTGATCTTATTGTTAATAAATAAAAATTAATTAAGAATAATATTTTAATTAATTCTATACAAAATATTAATCAAATCAGCTTACGAAAAATTCTAGCTTATTCTTCTGTTAACCACATTGCCTGAATACTTGCTAGCATAATCAATTTTAAAATAATTTGGATCTTTTACTTTATTATCTATTTCATTATTGAATCTAATGGCAATTTTTTGGTATTTCGACATTTTTTTTTAATGAAAACCACAGGATAAAAGTTTCAGATGCTACATCAAACAAAAGCTGGTACCACGACCTGACTTGTAAATGTCTATGGTTACTGTGTTAAAAAATAAAAAATGTTATATTTTAGTTTGTGATACAAATTTACATTCATAAATAAAATTTCTCTGATTCGAATTCAAAACGGTTCTCACTTAAAAAATGTCCCTCGTAGAAACCGTTACTTCAATGCCACTTTTTTTTAGGTTAAAACTGTGGCATGCTGGTGGATTATAGATTTTCGATTGTACAAATGAACCCAGAATTGTGGAACGACTTGATTTTCCTTTACCTGTTACAAATAATCTGAGCAGTGACGGTTGAGGTTTTCTAGGGGTTTCCCTCGCCCAAGTGCGAATGCAGTCAGCAAAAAATGATGTTCCCCTAATAAATAGTGGAGAAAATGAAAATTATAGTTCTACTATTAATGATCATGTAATTTTAAATCGCATAGATATTAAATATATTATAGTAAAACTTTGTGTTTTTTTCCATAACAGAAATAGGCAAAAAATATTTCATCCTATTAAAGCCATGTTCGTACAGGTGTCGTCACCTGTCAGTGACCGACCACCAGCGTTGCCAATGCCAACCCCATCCGAGCTAACTGTATATGGGCTTGAAAAAAACTGTAGAATATTATTTAAAAACTTTAAATATACAGCCTTCCAGTTACAGTATTTTTATTTCTCACGAGTACCTATCGCGGATCAAGGTCAAAAGTGACAGTTTTGCAATGCTTAAGCAAATTCTTTTCTAGTCGGCCTTCAGTGACAATTTCCATTCAAATTTTTACAAATTCACTCAAGGCCAACCAGCTCAAAAAGGTATTAATGTGGTGCTAATGTAAGCACAGAAGTATGATGATATGATACACTCCAACCACTGCATTAAAAACGCTCAAAAAGAGTTTGCTTTTTGCATGCATGATCAGCTGTCCTTTTTTGACATTGTTCCGCGATAAATACTCGTGCAAATCGTATTTTGCTTACGAATAGCACATTTCTGACTTAACTTAAATCAAGTTCTTTTCTCAGCGGTTCTGATTGTCTTTGAGTGACAAAATTTGAATTGAATTCTGAAAATTTTCATCTCACTTTAGATCAACCAGAACCAGAAAAACTGTAGAATTGAAAACATGAAAGATTTTTGAATAACTGTAAATCTACAATTAAAACTGTACGGTTGGCAACCCTGCCAACCACTGTACGAACAAACCGAAAACTGGGAATTTATAAAAGTGTTCAGTCCTAGCGAAAACTTTGCAAAACTATACGTTTTTTGCGACTTTAGGGTGCAAAAAACCATTTTTACAATAAAGTAATTTGGGGGGCGCTGAATATTAGCATCATAGAAAAACAATTCTAAAGCGTCATCGGACTTTTATTTTGAGTGAAATTGGTAAGAAACATTTAACACGGGGCTACCCGCCGCGAATCCTAGCACTAAATTGCCATCAAATTCCGAATCTGCGCACCCAATTTACGTAGATAACGAGCTTCCATGTAGATAATAGACTCGCAACAGTGTTTGGGGATTTTTTATTAGCCGCTTTTTGAGAAAGTGGAATTCCTGCCATCATCTCCAAAAAGGAGGACTTGTCTGGCTGAATTGACCCCGGATTCGGTTTAAGCGACTCGCAAAACGTTTATAAGAAGTAGTAGTGAATCCTAGAGCTGATTTGACATCGAATTCAAAATACAATCACCCGATTCAGATAGAAAACAAGTCGCACACAGCGGATTTTTATTTAGTCGTTTTTAGCGACACAAAAAACGTATTGTAAGAATGGCTGAGCTCTCGCCGGAAAGATCCATTTTTTTGCAGTATTTCAGATTGTAACAAAAAGAGGTTGGCGATATTATTAAAGTGCAGTATCTTCAAACCAGTTACGCCACAACGCACATGGTTGCCACATTAATCAAAACTACTAGATCCTAGGACATTTTTTCTGAATGTCACATGATTGCCAGGTTGTCCACAAACGTCGCATGCGACGTTGCCGGCTCTTCGCATAGATCTGAGACTTGTATAATTTTATAGTTTTGCTGTTTTGACAAATAAGTAGTGACTAATTTTGCAGCCGCAAATGTCAGATTGCGATTTTGTAGGACGCCTTTATAGCCTCCTTGATTGTCATAGTATCTTTTCTCCTTCAGAAAGGCTGTGGTATTTCTAGATTTCTACTGTTTCTTCTCCTATTGTGAGGCTATGTTTTTTAATAGGTTCGTACGCATCTGAGGAATGCCCCCAGTCATTCTTTCGGCATTAGACACTCCCCATACTTGGGTACGTTCAACAGCTTAATGAGCAAAGATAAAACCAGCCTTCTATTTTGATGGCCTTTGTCTTGTATTAGCGACGTGTTTTGAAACCAGGTATTTTGATGCTGTAACGTAGACAGACAGCACCAGCAAAGTGCAAGAAACCACTTTAATGATAGTATACCATTGATTAATGTGTTACACCTGAAGATTTCCAACCAAAATAGGATCTGAATTGGGATTCACGACTTGATTTGAAATCGTCAAGCTCAACCAAGTATAACAATCTGATCTAATAAATAAATACATAAATAGCTAAATGGAAGGGTCTTTGGGGAAATCGACAAATTATGCACGTTAGCAATTTGAGGTTAGTCCATGATGTATAGCCATGTTTTTCATTAATTTTCCAAAAATATCCTCATACATCCAGTTTTTGATCGTCCTACTATGTGGTCTCATCCACATTTTACAAACGCACTCCTGATGATGACAGCATAGATTGTCGAAAGCTTGAGTGTAAGTTAAAAGAGTATACTTTGCATAATATGCGATTTTCCCAAAGACGAGTCTTCCACTTAGCTAGTTATTTTTCGACAATAACTATGAATCATATACATAAATATATATATAAATTAATTATAAATACGTAATAATATACTTTATTTGTCACAAGTTTGTTTGATGATAAATAATAGTATAATAGCTTACAGCAGGGTTGCGTTATCAAGTTATCGATTTAAGGTGGTTTCTTCACTTATTAAGGACGGTGTAAATACACTATATGTGCTTGTGGCTTTGTCGAATTTTGACTTAATTCCTTGCACTAGCACTTTGTAGTTGTACCTGTACGTATACACATATATTTTTTAGCGCACGTTTTATTGGCTCTATTTGCATTCATGGTGTTTTAGCAATTATCTTGAACTTCCTGATTTTACTTTTGCATGTAGCACCTGTTGAAACACTGTAGTGATGTCTACAAATAAGCATTTCAATATTGAGAAAAGGATCATTTTTAATTCAAAGTCAGATATCTCCGCGCCAAATGATCGTATCGAGATTTTAAAAACATAATATTGAAGCTGATTAAACGGCAAAACCGATCCATATGACGGCCTAACAGAAAAAATGTGTTTCATGCTCGTGAACTAAAACGAAGCCAAACATTTTGCAAAACACTTTTCTTGCGATATCTGTAAATCGCTCAATTTTTTTTTACTAAAAAACCTGAAAGCTTCAAAATGTTTTTTTAAAAGTCTAGATACGCGACCATTTTTCTCTGAAATACAGCCTCTCAAAAATCACTGAAAAATTTGGACTTTTTTCCTGCTCCCTGAATTTGTTTGAGTACTGTTGTTTATATTTTTCCGTATTTTGTAGGTGGTCCTGGACGTCCCACCAGCCCATAGCTTTGGAATAAGACACTCCCCGTTTTCGGCTCACTATTAAGCGGATGAAAAGCAAACGATTTCAAACGAACCGACTGTGTTTCTTGTTTCAACCAATCATCAACTAGGAACGCAAGGATAGCTCTCTATGTTCTATCACTGTGGAAAAACAATTTCTCTTGAGTGAACATACACTATCGGATGCTACGCAAGATGAATCCGTAGCATTTTTCGTCACTTTGGAAATTGTTGTTCCACATTTACTGTCACCACAACATACAAATGATGTCTACTAAAACCATTTCACATAGAAAATACTTCGTTACCACATATGTTTACGATCCTCCATTATAGGTTGCACGAACTTTGTGACTACTTATTCAAAAACATCATCGTATCTGCCATGAATAGATTTTATTCCATTTTTGTGGCATATTGTAAAGCCACCACTTAAGGTCGGTTTCACAATCTCCAGTTATCTCTATTCGACAGTTATGTATATGACGATTCGTACAGTTCATTAGAAATTGTGATCCCACTTTAGCAGCGCGTTACTTGAAGTCTTCTCTGTGTGACAAATTGGAAGTGTCCTAAATGTAAAGCTGTTGTGATACATAAATAATTAAACTAGTGATTTAAAATTGTTTCAATACGTTATTTTGTTTAAAAACGCTTTGTACTGCCAATCGCCAATAATAAAACTTATTATAGCTTGATATTAATGTTTGGTTCCTTGCAGTTATTCTCTGTTATATACATCTTTATACCATTAACATTTGTGTTGTTTTTATACAATAAATTTTTATATTCAGCTTGTTTTTTACAAACCTGATAAACTAAAAAAAACTAGAAAAGCCAAATATTTGCTTTGAAGTAGATATATTTATTCCAGCTATTTAGAAGCTTTTCTGTAAATCCGTAAATCTACTGACATATTGTAAGGTTGGCATCGTTGTACTAGAATATCAAGAGGAAGGTGAACTAATAATTCGTGCCAGCACTCAGGTCAATCGTGATGCCGCGACACCTTTGTGTTAGCGTAAAATAACGTAAATCTGGGGCTTGCTAGCAATACGCAACTAGCGACGACGCCATATATAAACTGTTTACACTCTGAATCCACCTAGACTCACAGCTGACAGACAGGCTGCGATTCTATGAATCCTAACTTTTTGATAAAATGTGGGACATTTTTCATCAGATTAGAACTTACTGCATAAGCAATATGTAGGCCACGTGGTGCGCTCCAGTGTTGCCAGATTCGTCGCAGGGAATTATCGTACAAACACGTCAAAATTATCGTACACTATCCTACATCGTGCCTCAGGTTCTCTCAGGATTCATGATGAAGCAAAGAAGGAAATATTCAGTCTCGGGGGGGCTCTTTTGTTTTCCACTCTTTCCTATAAGCTTGCTGTCTACGTTTGGCTTTCTTCAAAGATTCCGCACCTTTTTTTTTTTGTTTTCTGTATTCGAGAGTATAGCATCTGTTGTTGTGCTTCTCTCTTTCAGAGCAACTTGATTCGGAATCCGACATATTATCGTTATTGAATTCAAACCAGATAAATATCGAAAATAACTAAAAACGATCTTTTGATTTTTAAGTTTCAAAAGTCATAAAAACGGGAGACGTCGCATTCATTTTATCTAATACACATGGATAAATAAAAATATGCGCGTCATGTCAATACATAGAACGTGAGAACTGATTGACGGCAATTTTCCCCTTGATGTTTGCCGGGATAGTCCGCGTAATGCTAGGCAACCCATTATACAGAGTGGGGTACCGGCGCTTGTCTACCAAACGGCAACACTGACAGCTGCTTGCTGGTGTTAATTGAACGTAGTTGTTAGATTGATTCAACATCTCTGAGTAAAAAAGCTCATTCGCAAAATTATCGTACATTCAGCTATTATCCTACACATAGTATCGTACATCGTACAGTACTTGAAATTATCGTACAGAAACGATAATTATCGCACGTCTGGCAACGCTGGTGCGCTCATAAGCACGTGACCAATAAACATTTCCTGATTAGTCAACCTAATTAAAAATGTCGGAAACTTGCTGGAAATCTGACACTTCAATTATATTCTGGTTCACATTTCTGGTTCACATAGTTCACCATTTTGAGGTTATTGTTTGTTTTGATATATCTGGATTTTTTAAAAATCACAAACTATTAATTATTCATTTTGCAAATAATAATCAGGCAATCACATGGAGAAGGACAAGAGCAGGTATGGTAAAAATGATCAGCAACTGAATAGTTATGTTAGAATTCAAACAAAAATTATTTTAGGGGCCGCAAACATATTCAGGATAAGCACAAATACAAAGGGAACACAGTCAAAAACCCAAAACACGTACCGTTACCTACCAAGCCTGTTTTGGAGTCGAATGAGGACAGATACGTAGAGGACAAATCAAACTCGCACAGTTTCCAGCTAAGCAGTAGCACTGACTTTGCAATACTTTCAAAGACACCTATCAGCAGGGGGCATCATTTTCAGTTCAAAAGTGATAAACTCCTTGCTGATGAAGCAGAAACAAAGGCTTCCGGTGATTTGTTTTCAATAGATGTTGAAGCAATACATAATAGCATATTGACTGTACCCTTCTATGAAAGAATTCAAATGGATGAAGCTTATTTTTCCGTAAGTACTTCCTTTTTGAGTTGTCTGTTCCACTGTCAGTCCAGTAGTACTCAACTTTATTGATTTTCAAAATGTGTGAGCATCAGAGCTATAAATATATATATATATAATATGATTGGACCTAAAGTAAAATGGAGAATGTGGTTTTGGCTATCTCCTCCAGCAACTAGCGAATAAGTGAATTTACAGGAATCTGAAAAGAAGTACATGAGAAGTGAAGCTGCTGAACATTTGAGAAGGACCTTAGAAAAGCTAAAAAGGTGTGAAGAGAAAAAACCAAAGCATAAGGAATCCAAAAAGATAGACCATGATGTTTCAGCTATCCAGAAAGACATTGAAAAATGTGTTCTAGATAGCCCGACAAGTTGTACAGAAAAAAGAAAAAGCAGTTCTGATGGAAACAAAAGGACTGTACCTGATAATGATTTAGAGCAGTGGTTGGATGATATACTGGATGATTAAATGAGTTGGTTGTACTGTTTTAAAAAAATAACTGTATTGCATCTAAAAAAGAAATCTTATGATCTGACTCTACTTCAATGATAAACTCATTCTTTTGTGATAACTGCTAAAGGCAAATATATATGTGAAGTATTGATTGTTGTTTCAACAACCCCTGTATCCCATTTTGAACTCTGCCCAGCAATATTACACATCTAAACATGCTGGTTTTGTCTGTCCAACCAGAGACAGCCAACCATGGACAGCTGTTTTGTGGTTTTTGGCAACTCATCAGCATGTTCTAGGCTTGGTCTCTGTGGTAGATTTTGACTTTGCCTTGTCTTATTTCAAAAGATTAACATAATAGGGCGGGAAGCGAATCATTTCAGATACTAAAGTGATCTATCAGGTTCACTGCTTTTCCAAGAATCTGGCGGAGATCTGGTATGATGTGGATATTTGAAAACTGCAAAATAGAACGAATGTTTAATGATATATCAATTATTGGAAGCTATTAATTTTTGTTGTTTTAAAACGACAGTACCTTCATAGTGGAATCCGCCGCTAGATCCCCAAGCAGCGTTGCCAAACCCAACCGAGAGAAAAACTGTATATGAGCCTAAAAAAACTCTAGGTAACTGTAGAATATTATTTAAAAAGCTGTCAATCTACAGCCTTCCATTTACAGTATTTTTCACGAGTATCTATCGCGGACCAAAGTCAAAAAGTGACAGTTTTGCATTGCTAACGCAAATTGTTTTTGACCGAGTGTGGTTTCGCTTGGCCTTGAGTGATATAAATGTGACAGAATTTCCATTCAAATTTTTCCATATTCACTCAAGGCCAACCAGAACCACAATCGCTCAAAAAAAAGTTTGCTTCTTGCATGCATGATCAGCAATAAGTAGACATTGACGTTGCAAAAAGTTGCCGGTGGTTGAAAATTGAAGAGGGAGGCACCTTGCTTGAGCAGCACTCGGATAAGTAAACAAAACAGATGGCGCGAGCATCTTAAACGAAATACTGCAGATTTGGAGGCTCGAACTGAAAACTTGGAAGATTTTTGAAAAACTAAATCTACAGTTAAAACTGTAGGGTTGGCAACCTTGCCTTCAACAAAGATTGGCAGCTGGAAGGAGGAGTTGCTAAATTCCAACCAATCACGACGCAGCGCAACATAGCCGTACCGACGCCGTACGCTGCGAACTAACGCGCACTTTAGTTATCGGTTGGCGTGGTTGGAGGTTGCTTCGTCGAGACCTCCGTGTTACGCTCGGCTTCTGTTCGACGCGTTCTTAATGTAGTGTCCAGAAAAGCTTTTGTCGGCGATTCCCCGCAGTCTCGTCGTGTCGTGATGGTGATTTGAGTGATTGTGTGTGAAAATGTGTTGTGGTTGTTCATAAAAGGCGAATGGAGTATTTTCACGTTGGATATTCTACCGATCATTCTGAGGAAGCTGAATGTCTTTACGGCAAACTAGGCAAGTCATCCATACTCATCTACTTCTGTGTTAGCTTTGAGCTCATAATTCAAATTTGACTTCTTGTGTTGTGGTCAAAAGTCTTTAGCATTTTTTTTCCTAAGTCAAACGTTTTCATGCTAGAAGCGATTAAAGTTCTGAGAAGTCTTAAGAATGTTGATCTTAAATGCTTTAAAACGCAGTTAAAATTATCATCTTTGAGGTTACCAAGTGTCTAAGTTAAATTCGCATCTTACACTACAATACTTAAAGGAGTATTTTTGGATTAGTACATCTTAAAGTGTCCCAATGCCTGTTATTAACAATTAAATAGCAGTGCTTTTAGAGAGAAAAAACTTTTTTCATTCGCAATGTTCCGAAAAGCCCAAAGTCAAAATGTCCGGGGCAAAAAAACGATTTTTTGTCGTTTGTAATTGTTTAAACTTTGCAGCGAGTTACCTCCCGGCACCCTCGTGAGTAAACGTAAATACATAAGTAGCACACTATCATGTAAAAAATTACAAGACAGCGAGATTCGTGCAGGTAAATACCGATTGTATTTTTGTGTTGTGTTTATATCTTATATCGTATAAAAAGTTGTTTACGTTTTTTACTAAGAAATAAATACCCCATACAATCGATATTTTGAAGATTTACCATTAACTGAACTATAGGTACTCATGTTGTATCTTTATGAGGGCTTGTTTAAAAGTACTGTAAAATTTATTGACAAAAGCCACTTTTTAACACAACATTTCAATCAAACACGTACAAGGCAATACAACCCATATATTTTCATAGCTAGCAATAAAAAATGATGCATTAAGCCTGGTCTGCACCATATCTGCCGGCTAGGTCGTTAAGCCCAGTCTACAGTATACAGTAACTAGACAAACGGAGTTCTTTGCCAAAGGCCTGTAGGATGTCTATTCAGAGTGTTCGAAAAATAGACGAAAATATTTTAGAGGGTGATTCTTTGTTAAAAAAAAGTTTCTATAAACATGGGTCCGGAAATGCAGAGTTTTCAAGATTCAGGGTGACAAATTTTAAAACATTTTTTTTACTCTTACATATTATATGGAAGAAGCCGTTGGGGAAACTCTTCTGCATAGAACCAAAACCGCAAAACTTGTGCAAGATTTTTCGGTAATTTGTAAACTGTAGCTTTGAAGACCAGAACTGAAAACTTGGAAGATTTTTGAAAAAATCTATTATTAAAACTGTAGCCTGCTAGTAGTTTCGGTCACGATCAATTTCATATAACGGCTGTGACACTAATCTTTTTTTCCCTGCACAGCAAGTTTTCAGTTGGATATAACTACGGAACGTCATTGTTTTTGCTGGTTTCCGATACGTCATGGGATTGTACTGCATTAAGACTACATGTTGCCGGTTCTAACTACGACACATCGAATTTGTGACATTCATCACTTTCAAGTGTACCCTTAAATTGTTCCATCCGCTTTTCCTGTCCAAAACGTGAGAGTGATATCTTTAATAACGCAGTACTCGTATACTCATGCTGTTTCTACTTGTTCCAGGGACTGGAGCAGTTTGCTGAAATGTAAGTGCCTTTAGGGTTTTCTTATTGGTGTAGGGTTCACAGCTGAACGAGAGCTGCGAGACTTCCAAACCTGCCCTCGCCTCAGACAGGGTGCCCCATTTAGATAGTTAGGAATCACTAGGAAAAAGCGTCCGTTCAGTATAAAAGTCAGGAAAAACGTTTGCGTCAGATGAGTGAATAGCGAGTAGCTAGGGAAATGTTAGGGATTTTTTTTGGGCACTCTGCGATGTGGGGGCACATCGAGGGATACAGACGACTCATCATGCCCTTGCTGCTTAGATTTTGCAGGGGCACATCGAGAGATGCTGACGACACGTCTTGCGCTTGCGCAGAGTATGCTGGTGTAAATCAGGTAAATTTGTTTTTATAAAAAGGACCTCTATGTGATATATTTTGATAACTCATCCACATATTTTGAGTACCCTTTCAAGTTACTGCCATTGGCTCATCGATGGTGACTACGATCTCCGCGAACTGCGAAAACGTGCAACGGGGTATTTTTCATGTGCGTGTGAACCAGTTTTTATAAAAGGTGTTAATATGTTATAGCGAACTATTTTATGTACATTCATTTATTCAACCAGATATTTGAAAACGATACATTGGAAACAAACTACGAAAATAGTACCCAAGTAACTTTTTTTTCTTAGATAAGAGAAAGCTTTTATAGCCGTTCACATGCAGAAATGCTCGATAGAATTTTATCATCCGCTTTTCCTGCCCAAAGTGTGAGAATGAGAGATTTAATAACGTAGTATTGCTGTTTATACTTTTTGCAGAGACTATGACAGTCTGCTGGAATGTACGTGCATTTATGGTTTTCTTCTTGGTGTTCACAACTGTGATAAATTTCAATGATTCCATTGTGCAAAGGTCCGTCAACAAGAGGGAAAAGTGAAGGAAGGAATTACCCTGGGTCCATAGCCGAGCTGTTAATCAGGAATCCAGAATTAAAAAAAAATACCGCTAGGTATTCATATGGTGTTAATGTAAGCACGAAAGTATGATGATATGATGCACTCCAACCGCTGTATTAAAAACGATTATTACTTTTTACAAGCAATTTGTGAAAAAATGTATCGTGGTTACTCATTTTCGGAGAGATTTTTTGCAAAACACGTGGCTGACATAAAATCGTCCAGTGTTTCTTAGATAAGAGAAAGCTCTTATAGCCGTTCACATGCAGAAACGCTCGATAGAGTTTTCCCATCTGCTTTTCCTGCCCAAAGTGTGAGAATGAAAGTTTTAATAACCTAGTACTGCTGTTTATACTTTTTACAGGGACTATGACAGTTTACTGGAATGTACGTGCATTTATGGTTTTCTTCTTGGTGTTCACAACTGTGATAAATTTCAATGATTGAATTGTGCAAAGGTCCGTCAACAAGAGGGAAAAGTGAAGGAAAGAATTCCCCTGGGTCCATAGCCGGGCTGTTAATCAGGAATCCAGAATTAAAAAAAAACACCGCTAGGTATTAATATGGTGTTAATGTAAGCACGGAAGTATGATGATATGATGCACTCCAACCGCTGTAT